GGCCAATACGTGAAAAAAATAGCTGGGAAAGCAGATAATAACAAGACCTGGCAATGGCTAAGAGCAGGAAAATTGAAGAAAGAGACCGAGGGACTAATTCTGGTTGCACAAGACCAAGCCTTAAGGACAAATGCATACAAAGTCAAAATTGAGAAGACAGCAACAGACAGTAAGTGCCGCCTATGCAAAGAAGCTGAAGAAACAGTGGCCCACTTGGTAAGCTGTTGCAAGAAGATTGCACAAACTGATTACAAGCAGCGGCATGACAAAGTAGCAACAATGGTGCATTGGAAGATCTGCAAAAAATCTCATTTGCCTGTAAGCAAAAACTGGTGGGATCATAAAATAGAGAAAGTCATAGAAAATGATAAAATTAAACTGTTCTGGGACTTCAGAATTCAAACAGACAAGCACCTGCAACATAACACCCCAGACGTAACAATTGTCGATAAGAAAGACAAAAAAGTCTGGATAGTGGACCTGGCAGTGCCTGGAGACAGCAGAATAGACGAGAAAGAACTGGAGAAGATAACAAAATACAAAGACCTACAAATAGAAATAGAAAGACTGTGGCAAAAGCAAACCAGGGTAGTACCAATAGTAATAGGCTCCTTGGGTGTATTCCCAAAACAACTGGAGCACCACTTGAACACCATTGGCATTGACAAATTCGCTATTAGTCAATTGCAAAAGGCGGCCTTACTAGGAACTGCTTCCATCCTGCGACGATATCTGTAATACCATCAAACATCCACATCTGCCTATCCCAGGTCCTGGGTAAGGACTCGATAGGTAGACAAAATGCCAAATCCAGTCTGAACCTCTGGCTGACTGTGCGATGATCCAAAATAATAATAATAAAGTTGGAAGGGATCTTGGAGGTCATCTAGTCCAATCCCCTGCTCAGGCAGGAAACCCTATACCATTTTGGACAAATGGCTGTCCAGTCTCTTCTTAAAAACCTCCAGTGTTGGAGCATTCACTGCTTCTGGAGGCAGGTTGTTCCACTGGTAAATTGTTTTAACTGTCAGGAAGTTTCTCCTTAGTTCTAGGTTGCTTCTCTCCTTGGTTAGTTTCCACCCGTTGCTTCTTGTCCTGCCTTCAGGCGCTTTAGAAAATAGCTTGACACTCTCTTCTTTGTGGCAGCCCCTTATATGTGAGGATACAAGGTTGTTGTCAAGGATAGAGAGGTATTGTGAATGGTGCCACTGATTAGATGTCAACTAAATTTGTTTAGATTTCATTATTTTTTTTCTTTGGGTTATTATACTCATTCTCTTTATGTGCTGTGTGCACGATTTCTTAACCAAATGGGAATAACTTGATGCCTACATATGTGTGATATAAATTTGATCTGATGCGGCATTTAAACAGTGGTGGGATTCAGCTGGTTCGCACCAGTTTGGCAGAACCGGTAGCTAATTTTTTGTTACCCAGGCCCAGAACAGATTTCTAGAAGTGGCATCCAAACAGAGAACTGGTTGTTCACATATTTGAATCCCACCACTGAATTTAACGTATACTTGCATGTCTTTTGAAGTAAGCTATGTGAAAGTTGTTCCTCATTAAAAGTCATAATGTGAGATTAATGGTAACCTTTAACGATGAATTGGAAAATATAGAATCATATGATCCCTTATGGAGGCAGAAGTATTCCTTTGATTCCTACAAATGGCTCTCTTTACATTTTAATAATTGAGTTTAGTCAGCAGCTCTTATTATGGTCCTTCCCTCCCTACACTAATCTTCTTTTCTATTCTTCAGAACAATCTCTTTGCCTCTTGAAGAGAAGGTGGAGGTAAAAAGATACTTGCTCTTAGTTTGCTTGAAAGAAAAGCCCCTTTGCCACACACCAGCAACCTGGCATTCTGCATCTGGCAGAAACAGGGAGAGAAAGAGAGAGAGAGAGAGAAGGAAGAGTAGGAGTAGTGTATGACCACTAATTTTATGCTGCTGTAGTCCTTCCTTTCTTTAGGAATGTGGCAATAAAAACAATAGAGAGAAGTACCTCTACTCTCCTAGCCAGAAGCACTGAAGATCTCCCCCCACCTCAATTGGGATAACTTCAGATGTTTTGAGTTACAATGGCATCTGTTGCAGCCTGCACAGTCTATAAGAATTGCACCTTCTTCCACATCAACTATCTTTTCTAGATTTACACAAATTAAGGAAGAGATGGCCCATGGGGTCATGATGACTGTTGGTTGAAAAGAAGAGCTCACAGAACAAATTCATAACACCATAAATATTCAGTCAGCCAATTTGACAGCTTGCTGATTTGGTCATATGCACTGGTACAGTAGGATGAGCCACTATAGGCCTGCAAACCTCATCAAAAAAGACAAATTAGACAGGCAATTTCATTAAACATTTACCATTTTGTCCTCAAAGAGTCTAGACTGTAACATAACTATATATCAGAATTGTGAAGTCAGTATTATTCATAAACTTTATTTGCCAAGTATTCTGTTCCTTCTTTGCCAGCAGTAGAGCTTTTATTTGCTATATACATGGCCTTCCATTAGAGCAGACATATAAAGTAATCCTGGCTCATTTCCCATCTGTGGACTTTAGGATTCTTCTTGCTGATTTTTATCTACAATCACCATATATGCTTACAATAATCTGACCACTAAATGGCAACCAAGGGTTGATCTCTCTGATGGATGCCTGGAGTTTTGTAAGCCGGACACAACAGTCCTCTCTATCAGCTTTTAAAATGTGTGGGGCTAAAAATCGAGAATACCTGCTTTAACATGAGCATGACGGTAAGGTGGTTTGGATAAATATCCTCTCATTTCTTAAAAAAATAATATAAATGAACAAGCTTTCAGTTTTTAAAAAATGTGAAAACAAATCAGGGAACATCTATCTATCAAGGCATTCCTATCTTTTCTTTTAATAAAATGTCTAACAAAATGGAAATATTAAATAAAATCTTAATAATCCTAGAATGTGAAATAATACTTAAATGAATCATCCAACCAACAAATCTTTTGGGGTGTCAGTTTGTACAAGAGGTAGAGTGCATCAAGCACAGAGCGAGGGTTAGTTTAAGGTCTCTCTCTCAGATCTTACCTGACTCCAGAGCAAAGAGCCAAATGCCTTCACTTCGCACAGCTGTTTTTCTTTGGCACACAGTCTGAAGGAGATGGTTAAGAATTTCTTTGCAGGGAAAGGGCTGGGATGCACTTCAAGATAATACGAAGGCCTGTGCCATTATCCTAAATGACAGTGATATTTTTCTCTCATCAATCTAGGAGGGAATCAAAACTCCAGAATGCTAAATTAAATGAATAATACCTCTTGGAAAGAAAATGGGGGAAAAGGAATTTTGCCTGTTGCTCTTTAGTGGCATTGGGTCTCTCTCTCACACTGCCTCTCCCCCCCCCTGCCCCAACTGCTTTATCATTCATTCATTCATTCATTCATTGTCTTTAAATGGAAAAAGCAATAAAAACATTTACTAATAGTGTCTTGACAGCCAAGTTATTCACAAGCAATTACACTGAAAAGGGTAATGATCCTTTTAACTGTATTTTTCTCTCTAGATCCATCTCTCTAGATCAACATTAGACTCAAGGTCACTTGATTCTTCATGTTTATGTTTATTTTCTTAATTTATAATGCCACCCATCTTGACATTTATTATTCTAAAATACTAGCATTGTTTACATGAATTGTTTCTACCTTAATGTACCAGTTTCTTAATTATTTGGTTTTATGTTAAAATGCAAAGTGCTTTCCATTTCTTTAGTTACTGCTAAAGTAATTTATTGGCCCAGGATTTTAATGAATGAAACCCAATCAATCAGAAGTCTAATCAATCAGAGTTTACTTGGTGAGGGGAAAGTTTAAAGGAATTAGAGAATAGACAGGAATACTGTATTTAAAGGCTTCATATGAAGCTTTTATCTGCTGCCAAAGATGGCTACTTCATGACTGCAGGAACCCTCTAACAAATTATAGGAGATTTTAGTGGAAGACTAAAATCTAGCTAGTCCTTAAATTATAGTCACAATTGAGCCACCAATCACAATTACGGTCATAAATTGTAAAGCAGGTCACCCTGTGACCAGACTTGATTTTTATGATCTTTTGGGCTGCAATCATTAAGTAAACACCATGGTTGCTAAATGAACCATTTAAAATCATTGTTTGCTGTAGGCTACTTTTAAATCATGGTCATGTGACTGGGGGCACACTGCAAATGGCACTTAATGTGGCCAGTTGCCAAATGCCCCCAAAGTGGTCACATGACCAGGGAGGGTGACATTGAAACTCTGAAACAGGATCATGAGTAGCTTTTGTGGGCTTTTGTGGTAATTTCAAAAGGTCTCTAAAAGACTGGCCATAAGCTGTAGATTCCTTATATAGGAATCTGTTCAGTACAGGTAGTCCTCAACCAAAATTAAGCCCAAAATTTCTTTTGCTAAGCAGGACAGTTTTTGCCCCATTTTATGACCTTTCTTGCCACAGTTGTTAAGTGAATCATTAGCGTTGTTAAGTTAGTAACATGGTTGTTTGTTAAGTGAATCTAGCTTGCTTGTTGACTTTGCTTTTGGGAAGGGTGCAAAAGGTGATCACATGACCCCAGGACAATGCAGGCTGTCATAAACACATGCCAGTTGCCAATACATGAATTTTGATTGTGTGATCATGGGGATGCTACAACAGTTGTAAGTGTGAAAAACAGTCATAAGTCACTTTTTTCAGTGTTGTTGTAACTTTGAATGGTCATTAAAGGAAAGGTTGTAAATCAAAGACTACCTTAAACAAGTATTCACACTTAAACAAAGCCCAATGTATATCTGCTGAAATTCATGAAGTTCAACAATACAGTTATCTCAAGTGTGTTCCAGGGTAAAGGAATTGCTGCTATATACTGTAATCCAAGTTGAAATAAGCTTCTCTGCTACAGACTATCTCCTTTTGGGTATATTATACACAGTTTGCCATTTTACAAGTTTTTAGCAATATAAAAATCAGACAGTAAGGCATCGCGGACAAATCAAAATTTATTAAGACAGACAAAAATGCAACTACTTTGGACTACAATTCAGCATTTACAATTAACCAAGGAAATCAGCAAAATATTCACATTCCTTTTAAGTTTTCATAGGGAAAAAGCATTCAAAATTTACTAGACTACTCTAACCATGATATTTGTACATTCCATCTACAGTTAGGGACATGAAACTGAAACACTTAATATTTGGACCTCTCCTTACAACGCTACACATTAAGCAGTAACAGATGTCAGCAGCATTGAGAAAAGTATAAGAAGACCAAGTACCATGCACTGTAGAAAGGGCTCTTAGATGCTTATGACTTAGACATTCAGTGTGGTTAAAGCAAATTGAATGACAGAAAGAAAGGAGAGCTGGGAAAGCAACAAACTTAGAGAAAAAAGGTGAGATTTCAAATGCTTTGATGGCAGTGAGAATCCAGGATTTATTATGTATCATCAAGCTAAGGGTAAGCCTATTAAGCCTATTGTAGGAGGGGAAAAAAGCATACACATAACTTTGCCATGTGCTAACAGGTGTGAGTTATTTCTTATTGTTGGATTGTGCCCCACATCATTTGCTGCTTAAAGAATATTAGTATCCAAATCTCTGTAACAAAAGTGAAACCAAAGAAACCAATAAATGTATTATTTTATAGATGAGTCCTGGATGGGAAATACGAACTATAAGAATAAATATGAAATGGATAGATGAAGAATTCAGCAAAGAGGAACAGTTTGCTCCTGCACATCCTTACTTAAGAAGCTCATGAGGCTCTATGTGAGAAGTTTTATCATGCATAGGCTCATCTCTTATGTATCTCCATACTGAATTCTGTGTTAAGGTGGCAACACCAGCTTCCCTCCAGCATTTTCTGTCACCTTCAAGAGTTATCCTAAGCAGAATTTGCTCAGGGCCTTTCCCTCTGCAATTCCCAGCATATTCCTCCTGCTGCCCGAGGAATCCCTCAACCTGTTGTAACAGGGGAAGAAAGCAACTGTCAAAATATCCCTGTCTATCAGTTCAAAGGCAGTCCTCATTTAGGAACAACTTGGTGTTAAGCGATTCAGTCACTTAGTGAAACTGTGACTGTGCTTATTATCTTCTGCTTCCCTTTGCTTTACAGACTTCTGGAGATCGTAAAATGTTACGATTGGTCATAAAGTTATTTTTTCATCATAATTCAAACTGTCACTAAACGAGGCAGTTGCTAAATGAAAATATCAATATTGGCATCTGAGCTTTTCATCTTGGATACAACCTATGCAGAATTTCAGAGGAGGCTGTGAACCAATGAACCAAAGCTCTGTTTTGTGGGAACAGCACGTGAAATGCAACGTGAAACCATAATGATTCTTTTAGTAAAGATAATGTAACAAAATAAGGCAGCAGCCCTAAAAGCTTCCATATTTCAAAATGGCTCCATTTACACAGAGGGACTAATAGGTTTGAGTATTTCTGGACTGCCCTGGTTCTTTTTTTTTTATATGGGAGTTGTCAGCTTTCTAATTTTGGGAAGGTCAATGAGTCGAAGAAAAATGGAATATTTTAAGGGAAACAGAAATTAAATGAAGCTGGGGGCAAGTTAAATAGCTTTCTGTTGCCCAATGGGAGAAACAGAATACTCAATTTTGCTGTAGGGTATAATATTGGTGGCTCTGCCTTATGCAGAATTAAAGAACTCATTTATTTATTATTTTAATGAACTAAAATCCTTTTTAGAAGCATAGTTTCAAACAAGAGGGCAAAAGGCCACAGTAAGAGTTCTTATATCATGATTTTAATGGAGCTTGCATTAACCATTTAAAAGTAGGTATTAATTATGAACAAATAGAGTACTAATAATTCTAATAATCAGTGTTGATCATATAATTTATACCTCCTAAAATCATTCAATTAGATTATGAGATTTGCTTTCTAGGAAGACTTTTTACTCTGTTAATTTTGCCAAAAAAGCACCAGACTTAATTTAAAGGGGTTTTTTTTTTGCTATTGCATTTTTTTTTAATGAAGATGGTTTCTAAATATTGCTTTTGTATACATTGAAATAGCAGGCATAATCTTTATTAACATTTGTCTAAATTATTATACTGAATTCCATTCTGGGTGCTTATCCATTCATAAAACCAGTTCAGTAGATGGCAATAAACTTTGGGCAAAAACCATACTTTCGGCTTCAGAATGCCAAAATAGTCATAATAATCCAACTATAATAATGCAGATGCTGTTCTAACTATTTAGGCAAGGTTTCTATAGATGCGTCTGTTCTCCATTATATAATGTATTAGATTATGTTATATCATGTTTTTTATTGTGATATTAATCACTAAAATACAATTAAAACTGCAAAAAGGAAAATCTTGTCACAGTGCAAATCAAGAATCCAGTATGATAAGTGGAAAATCCTTGTGTTTTAAGTGTTGGCTGGAAATAGGAAAGGCCTAAAGTCACAACAATTCTATCTAAGAATCAGGTTTCCCATTGGCATCAATGTGAAATACACATTGGAGCTTCTTTTATCTAGTTATAGTACCAGGTGATGCCACTGAACTAGCGAATGGAAGAAAGGCTTCAGATGAAAGTAAATCAAAATTCTAATCTCTGGGATCTAGTGATTGTTAAAACTGTTTAGTTTTTCCTCTTGTTCTTAGATGCTATAGTCGCTAAAGTAATGAATGCCACTTATATACCTGCAATAGTTGCTCCCTCCCATGATTAGATAAGTATGCTTTGCATATCTTCTGTTGTAACCAAGTTCAGGACCATTTAGGTTATTAAAGGTTAGAATAGAAGACTGTGGCTCTTCAAATATGTCTAAAGTTAATTGATTTTCAGTACTGTTCCTCTATGCACGTACACATTGGAGAAAATGGTCATCTGCTGAAGTTAGCATTTCCTATCTAGAAGGAAAGAATTATCTGGGCAAAAATGAATAAGTGCTGTGATGCAGATATCCTGATAGGCAGCAACATGGAAGATGTACAACTTCTGAAGATGAGGATCTTCCTGTTAAAATGATGGTACTTGGGCAGTCACATTGTAAATGGATGGATGAGGTGGGTGGGTGGGATATATGAGGTAGTAGTGGAAACTCCAATAGCTGATTACAAGAAAAACTGACAGTGTCGACAATAAGTTTAGCATGGATGAGAAACAATGAGAATATTAAAAGGGAGAGTATATATCTTCTAAAAAGACAATTCATAAAACAATGGAATGGAAGCTGCATGTTTAGAGACAAGTCCACAATATGGCTTGGTCTTCAACACAGATTGCTGTTGATTATAATCTCTTTGAACCAGCTGCTGGTTCATATCACTGTATCAAAATTGAATATAATGTAGTACAAAATAACCCAATTTGTGTTCTGGTTATATGCATAGCCAAACACCATTGTTATCTTTTGTCCGGTAGCAGTTCAATCCATGAAAAGCTACAAAGTAATTTTTTTTAAAGAGAAGCTAGGACAGGAGGCCTATTATTGGTTTGGTAAGACAAAATAGTAGTTAATTATTATTATTTTCCCCTCAGCAATTTAATGAAAAATGAATTGCTGCATTCTCTGGCTTGATAGGAAAATCAGAGATGCTGCCATGGCTTTGGGTTTGGACTTGTTCTAGTTTTGCACAATTTTGCAGAGGAATAATAGGTTATAAGGCTTGCTTAGATTATCCTGTGTAGTTTTATTCTCTTGTCCCTTTCTCCAAAAGCTTATGTTTATTGTTTTCTAATGAAGCGAGTATTCCACGTGACAATGACTAGGAAATTATGCTGCCGCTTTTCAGTTCCTCCAAAGGCACAGTTCTATTCTGTTTCTTTGGCTGTCATGGGGCTACCAAGTCTTAGTCTTTCCTTTACATGCCACTGATAAATTAATATAATTATAGCTGTAGTTCCTGCAAGTTCCCACCTAAAATTAATAAGTCCATGATGGCTTATAACACACTCTTGAAATCTTGCCCACTTTCCAAGCTTAAAATGTTTTCTCTACCCAAGGGTTTCCAATCTTGGCAACTTTAAGATTCGCGAACTTCAACTCCCAGAATTCCTCAGCCAACCATTCCATGGGAGTTGAAGTCCACAAGTCTTAAAGTCTGCTCTAGACAAACAGGAAATCATATGAGAGGAAATCACAAACAGGACAATGATCACAGTTTGCAGGTACAGACAAAATGAAGATGGACCAGGGCAAGTCCTTAAGATTTTATTTTATATATGTTCTTAAAACTAAGGAGGTTGTCAGTTACATTTCATTTGTACGTAGCATATATGAAATGACTTTCTCCTTTATAATGTTCACATCTTTTGCCATAGTTTAGTTAGGATATTATATTTCAGGGAAAACATTTCAAACACCTCTTCAACAAATTGTACACCACCATATGTTGGCAACTTTAAATGCACAGAGGTACCACATACAAACGAAAACTGTATTACCCTAATTCTGTGGGATCAACAGATGGATTACAAATTTTGAAGAAATAAGAAGATAAACAAACTCTGTTTTTGTACAAGTCTATAATCAGATGAAATGTACTGTTAATATGACATTTAAACCCAACCAATCTCCTGATTTGTATTTATTAAACGTTTCGGATTAGAGTGTTTTATTTCTGAAAGAAATGTCTACTACATCCATTTTAAATCAGTGGGAACTTTATTATAGGATTTAAATAGAATTTCCTGTGAGTTGCAGAGGTGAATGCTAGTCAAATAGGAGCAATCAGAACAGAACAGAACAGAATAGAAAGAGTTGGAAGGGACCTTGGAGGTCTTCTAGTCCAGCCCCCTACTCAAGCAGGAAAACCTATACCATTTCAGACAAGTGACTGTCTAGTCTCTTCTTAAAAATCTTAAAAATCACTGATTCAATAGTCAGCAACGGGGGACATCAAACAAACATGCACATACACATATGCAAACCCTCTCAAAAAGTTTCTCCCAAGTTACTGTTTGGGTTGAAAATAAAGCTAAATGTCAGTTACTTTCCAGTGTGTAACAGACAGCATTTCATTGCACCTAAAGGGAAGGTGATTTCTAGGAGCTTTATTAAGGAGAAACCTTACCTTTAATCGGGTAAGAATGAAAAGTGGGCATTATATTACAGCTTCCAACTGGCTTTTGACTTTTCTTTAATAGCTCTGCAGCCAAATCTAAACACTATGGCAAGTGCAATTCATATTGTACATTGCACTTAACATCACTTTTCTTTGGGAGCAAACCTCATTAATTTTACAGAACTTTAAGCACAAGTCCAGGAAAAATATCTCATGGTTTGGTTTTCCGAAGTACCTTACAAGTGTGATGTGTTACAGCATTGGAATGAGAAGGTGATAGCAACATGTAATAGCTTTCCAATGCTCCAAGGTTTGACCCAGTACTCACTGCTGATGTAGCCAACAATATAACTTTTACCATCAGCTGCTACTGGTTGCATCTCTTCTAAAGGATTGTAGTTTCATGGCTTTTTTTTTTTTTTTTTGAAAGAGTGGTAGGGCTGGGAAAGAGAAAATTAGATTAACAGTTTATCTGCTAGGGAGATCTGTACAAATCTCCAATGGACATTATTGGCTATAGGCAGAGGCCAAATGGCAGTTAGGGCAGAGCCCAATGGCTTCATTGTATGTTATATTAAATGTAACAGCACACATCATAGTTTGGGTTGCTATAGATAAAGTGTTGCTTTAAAAAAAATCAAAGCTGCTATTTGAATTTCTTTATTGGGGCTCCACAGTAGAAGATAGATAGTAGAAATTTGATTCCTTAGGAGTCAAATATCAAATAACCCTAGGAATCAAATATCAAAGCCCAAAATGTGCAGTAAAATACTAGAAATCTTTGTGGGAAAAATTTCAGAAAAAGGTTCTGTCTCGGAAGTACCTTTTCTGCTGGCCAATTATTTTGGATTGCTCTCTCTGGGAGGAGTTAAACAATGTGAAAAATGTAATATTAAGCTCTCACATTTGGCATTATTTTGAAGGATTCATTTTCAGGCCATTTTGTATAACTTTCGTTGAAAAGCAACTCAGACTACATCGTGCCAGAAGCAAAAGGCATAAATAAGCCAAGTTGTAATAGAACAAGTAATGATCTGTGGGTAGATGCCATTTTGTAGTTATGTAGAAAAAATATTAGAAATTTATACCAAAGAAGTAGTATCTTTAATATACACTTTTCTTTCTTTTTTAATTTGCCTTAGAATATAAATATTTTTGCATTTGTCTTTAGTGTTAAGACTGAGGATCAAGCAGACTAAAGCAGAGATGGCCCTTAGTTTTTGCAGAATTTAAAAGATGTATGTAGTAGTTGATTTCCTTGTATTTAATAAGAAAAAATGGGCACATTATAAATGCATTGGTTGTTGCCCCAGCTCTTCCTCCACGCCCATTAAGTTTGGTCATTATGTGGACATCAAACATAATAAAATATCTGCAGTAGCACATTTATTTTCCCACAATGAATGGCAATTGAGCACAATAAGATGCTGCTATGGAGATAGGAAAATGCAGGGACGTTTATGGAATAATTCTAATCACACTCTTCTGGTTCATGAGTGTAAGTTTCTCTTGTGATGTTAACTAGGAGTGATATTAACCATGGAAACAACTGCCTAAGGTTATTTTTCTTCCAAAATGGAGCAAATAAATATTAACAATTTAAAATAAAAGAAAGACAGCTTATTACTTTTGATGGTTAGTGCCTCTGACAGTTTCAGTGCTTCCTTATGAGGAATCATTAGAGTAAATGAAAAAAAAGAAAAAAAAAGCATTTTCAGCAATCCATCGGTATGTTATTCTGGAAGTAAAGAGAAGCTTGCATAGCATTAGTGCAAACTTGATTAAAGCAAATTTGAGACTTGCAAGTCTGCAAAAAAGACTAACAAGAAGTAAAGAAATGCACTTGCGAAGCATTGCTTCCTCGTGTGTTTTGAAAAGGAGGTTCCTCTTGTTAGAAGTGGAAAGGTGAGCCTCGTGTGTAAGCATGCAAATCAACATTTTTTTTAAAAAAAAGTCAACATCACTTTCATTAACTTAAACTGAACTAAAATTGATTAATGGGTTGAAAGGTCAACTGAGATCTTGTCCTCTACACTCTTAGTCAGTGGGGAGAACTTTGAGTTTTATTGGCATTCGGTTCTCCTTTTGCAAAACAACATCAGCCAAAGTGAGAAGGAGATGAAATGAAATAATTCAGCCAAGCCAGAATGCTAAAGCAATTTGAACTTTTCTAACAGGTTCTGCATAGCAAGAGAAAAAGATCACCTGCCTTAGCTGCTGAAAAGAAAGCAGAGTGGTAGCTGACAGCAAATGACACAATGAAAAAAAGACTAACTCTGGACCAACTCCCCCCTTCTGTTTTATTCAAAATGATATTCTGCATGAATGGGTTTAACTCTGAAAAAAGTGAAAAACAAACGAGAACGATGCATGCGGTGATTCCGAACAGCAGAAGAATTTGAGAGTGAAAGTGGTTTTCCAAATTAATATAGAGCATACAAAATGAAATCAAGTGGCAAGAGAATTGTCCTTACTGGCAGTATGGTGGTCACAGGAGCCCAAATGCACATGTGTGTATAAAGTATAGAAGGAGCACCACATGCAAAAGGTCTTCCCAGCTCACTTTAGTGACAGATTCAGCTATGCATGCTGATCTCCAGCGTGCCTGTGGCTGTGTGGCTACCAGTAAAGTAAAAGGAAAGCCCAATTGGGAAGGAGATCCGTGTGCCTACTGGGAGGCCCATAACAGTTATTGACTGTGTGATGCCAGATGTTTCCATTATCTCTGCGGAGATACAAAATGAATTGTGATATTGTGCAAAACATGAGTCCTCAGAGTTATGGGAACTACCATATATACCCAATTTCATCATCCTTGTCATCATCTTCATCTTCATCATCCTCGTTGGTTGCTCTTACATGTATCTTCTGTTTGTCCTTTTTTGCTTCTTCATGTACTTCTTCCAGGTCATCCAACAATAACACTGATCCACCACTACCAAAATCCCCTGAGGTTTCTTGTTCTTCTTCTGCAAAAGGGAAGAAATCACTGCTATAATTTAAGCCCAGTTGCCTGCCTTGGCATGTTAACTGTTTCATCCATTAAATTATACTCATTCTTCTTGTCAGTTTTATTTTTAGACATTTCCCCCACAATGAACCATATCACAATGGGAACTCAAAAGAGCATAACAGTCCTGGCAGAATATAAATGGAACGAGAAATATTCCAATTGTGATCCTATCTACCAAGTCAAATAAGAAGATAGGGTAAGAAATGTGATGTGGTTCTGCATTAAAATAATTATGTGGTTGATTTAACACTTTGGTTGTTGGCCGCATGGTGTATACAGATTTGAGTTTCAAACAGTGTGTGCTTTAAGAGCTGAGTGGATGTTCCCCCCAAAGATCAATAGTAGCAGACAAACTTTCCTGACAGTCAGCTTGTCTATAACTCTGGCAGGTTTCACTTTTCTTAATCGAAAGTGTGCCTTAATAAAGAATCCATATTTTGATTTCTCCTTCGTATTAAGAAAAAATTTAGATGTTTAGAGCTCATTGTGCACAAAGCTGCTTGTTTTTAAATCTTGCTTGCTGAAAAGAAGAAGGAAGGGAGAAAATCCTCACCTAGACTCTCGGTTCTTATTCCAGAGTCATGTGCCAGCAGTCTCATGACCAGAGCAGAGCTATGAAGATATTATTCCATGTTTTGATAAAAACCAATTGGCTATTGTTCTTTGTTGGGAGCTTCTGCACAAAACCTAGCCCTGGATAATATGGAATCTGGCTGCCCTTGGGATATCTCTGCTATTGTTATAAAGGAGCTCCAGCAGTTTATAAGAAATTTGAGTATTATCCTATTTGGTAAGTATATTTTTTATATTACACTCTTAAATCTGCCTGCTTGAGTTAATAATAAAGCTTAAAATCCTTTTATTTACTGGTCACTGTCCTGACACTTGGCAAAGCAGAATTCCTTTTGGTCTTGTTTGCATCCCACTTGACAGAGAACGGTTGAGGCAGAGCAGTGAAGAGGACATGGCCAGCAGTGGTGGGCAGTGGGACGGGATTCTGCTCAAGGTCCAGAGAGCTTTTGGTGGGGCTGGCTGATTTGAGATGTTGACATTTGCAACATGCACCTAAGAATATGTGTGGTTGCAGAATTAGTATCAACTGTTCAGTTTAAACTTCTGTGGCAACAATGCTTGTGCAATGCTTTAGCTGCAATTCCAAAAATGTGCTTAGAGTAGTGCTACACCCAGGAAAAGATGTGGCTTCTTCAAAGCATCTTTTCTGAATGATTTCTGAAGCATTACCTAATCCTAAAGCAACTCTGATAAGTTCCTTATTTGTATGTGGTTCCCCTCCCCCGGTACAGAGAACATTGTATTATTTTAAACCTCAAAACAAACACCCACAATAATCACTCCATAAGAATATTTTAAGTATAAAACCACTGCTGTCTTTTAAGCTGACAGGAAAAGCAGTTTGGATACTTTTACCAATCTAGTATTGTTTTTCATGCTTAGAAAGAAATGTTTTTTGCATGAGCACATTTGTTTAATAAATACAGAAATGTGAAGATAGTTGTCCTGATGGCTAATATATTTCTTCTATATCATGTTGTACTTTCCTAGCCAGTATTACAGAATTAATTCCTATTTTCTTGCAGAAAGTTACTCACCACAGCTTACTGTCCCTTGCTTCCTAGAGCCAGCAATCTCATTTCCATACTTATCCACACACCAACATTGGCCAGTACTTCCATGACACTGAGTTGCTTTGTAATAGCCTTCTTCATTGCAGCGGGGGATGAAGGTACCTGGAGGCAGAAAACAGAGACTAGGTCAGTAATAATCTGATTTTCCAGATTGTCCTTTTGGACTCTACATAGCTAGGTCAAAATTATCATGCCTCCTATTTATTCTTGAATCAATACCTCTTAGATACTTTGATACAAGGCAGATATTCAGTCTGAATGGAGGCCGGAACTTACCTGGGATTATTTTAGTTTATGAAGGAACAAAGTTTGCCACCTTAAATACCCAACCCAATTATTGGCAGTTCTCTCCCAATACTTGTCTAAGAACAGTGCATTGGATACTGTGCCACGTAATGCTGGCTAGTTACTCCAAAGCAATCACTAAAAATAAACCTACACACACACACACACACACACACACACACACACACACACACACCATATATTCCATCATTAAACACAGCACAAATCAATGCACTCTTTTTCAACCATAGATGTATGCATTGCATGCTATCTTGGAAAGAATCAGAAAATTATTAAGTCTTTAGAACTACTGCTGGAAATATTCACAAGAATGTTTAGGATGTACACGTTTTGTCTTAGTGGAAGGGTCTACCATACCAGATTCATCACAGTAAATCTTCCCAGAATGGCACAGTACAGGGATAATCCTTCATTCTTACACACTCCCATTTCATTCTCCAGCCTCTCCATTGAAGGTTAGCTTCCCAAGAATTGTGTTTGTGGTGCCTGAGAAAATTCTGGCTTTAGTATCTCTCCAGGTGACTGTTAGATCTTCATATAGTACCAAATCCACTCACCTCATGGATGGAATAGTATTCACACTGAATTTAGAAAACAATTTACTACAAGATTATTCCTGCCTTATACTTTTTGACAAAATCTGATTTAAACTCGAGTCTTTCTTGACGTATCCCACTTCTCTAATCTGAAACATGTGGATGCTGGGTCTGTCAGGAACCTTGCTCATAGTGATATGTTGGGTGATAAATAAAGTAGTATAATGTAGTATTTTTAGTGCTTGACATGGTCTAAGTCCTAGACTGATTTTCACCAGAATTCCTCTTAAGTCTTGTGAATATCTTGGAATGGTTGCTTTGGTATATTTCCATTTCCCCTGGAAGTCTTGAAGCCACCTTTTAGTGTCTTTCATGTTTCTTAGTATCATTAGAAATACTTGATCTTAAATATGGTTGAGTAGTTGGGCCCTGAACTGTTTCAAATTCATCAATGTTTTGACTTCCCTAACTGTATTGGCTACTACCTGTTTACATCAAGTATATGCAATGGTGGGATTCAGCCAGTTCACACCACTTTGGCAGAACCGGTAGCTAATTTTTTGTTGCCCAGGCCCAGAATGGACTTCCGGAAGCGGCATCCACACAGAGAACTGGCTGTTCACATATTTGAATCCCACCATTGGGTATATGTTATGTCCGTTCTATGGATGAAGGCCTCAAAGGAATCAGACATCTTTCACTATAGAGCCTTGAAATTCCTTCTAGGACTTTCAGGCATCAATTCTTGCAGGGATTTCATCATTTTTTAAAATAGTGCATAGTTATCCATTTCATCTCAAGCCATTTCATAGGCCTTAACAAAGGGCTCAATTAACTTAACACATAAATAAACTGACTTCCCTCCATGCTGGCCAGTCTTTTCTCAAGTGTCAAGTTAAATGGTTAGGATCCTCTTTTTCTGTATTCTGTATTTTTCCACAGGAGCTTCTAGAAGTGTGGATTGGTTGCAGTAGTAATAATCCATTTTTCAGCCACTCATTTTTAGTTGAGAAACCTCTTATTCCAACACTGCTGTCTTTAATCTTTCCACTTGCTTCATTTCCAATGTTTAATGTTTTCCTTCCCTCTGGGATACCATTTTTCTTAATTACAATTTCTTAATTTAACTCAAGTGGGTCAATAGGTCCCATCACAGTGCTCAGTTCATTGTGTCCACTCATGCAGTTGAGCTATCTGCCCTGTTTTCAGGCATGAGACTCTTGGAATCTGAAACTTCAAGTTGTTTTTATTAGCTGGGCAAAAGATATCATCTCACTTCTCTGTCCCTTAACACTAATCTAGCTATCCTGTCAATCCTGGAAACTCAAAATAAAAATAACCTTTGTGTTATTTTTTGTCACTTTATATCTCTGCTGGAAAAAAACTGTGAAAAAGAAGAAAATATTTTTCCTCCATCTACCTGGCACAATTAGATTCCTTCCTGTGTGACAGGCACAAAACAATCATGACCCCACCCAAAATCTTGAAAGACATAGGGAGAGGGGAGAGGAAAGAATGAGGTTGGTTCTTAGTGTGTTTTTTAGTTTTTTACCTACTATAGTAGTAGGATGGAAGAACTGTTCCCAGAGGTCCTTTGGGTCTATACATTCTAGCTCCCTTTCCTGCCTTGATGCAGCACTTGCTGGTTCTTGCTGTCTCTGCCTAAGTATCAGGAAACATCTCACATGCACCCTCCCCCTAACCCTGGGGCATGAGTGAAACTAGGCTCCCATTCCTCCTGTCTAGTAGTATGGAGAAACCTAACTAGTGAAATTCAGCCCTCCTTTCCTTGCTGCTTTGTGGAAGATCGACCAAATTCACAAAATACAGAGAGAATAAAAATGTTAATAAAAGAGGGAGGAGTGTATAAAGTCCTTTTTAGCTTTAAAGCATCCAGTGGGTAAAATATTCAGCGGCAAAGGAGATGAAAATAGTGCTATTTTAATAACAGACAGCATCTGAAAAGAAACTCTGAGAGAAAAAATTTCCAAGATAATACAAGGCTCTGTGCAAATTACAATACAGAAACAACTCTGACAGAAAAAGCTGCTCATTTGTATAAAGCACACAAGGAATGAGACAATAAATTAGTCCCAAACGCCCACAGTCAAATTAACAGTAATCTAAGCCAATATTTCTATTTTAGCAATTTTTTTAAATCTATAATATTTTTTCTCTGAAACAGATTTTCTCCCGTTTGTTCCTAGAGTTCCCTCCTAAACTGTCAGATCTGGGAGATGCCCTGATCTTTCCCCCCAAATTCTGTCATTTTATCTAAAAGATGTGTCTTCTAAAAGAAGACATTAATCTGACTCCGTATGTGATCCAGGTCATGCCAGTTCTTGCATGTTCTATGTCTTGAGATGGTTGAAGGTGAATTGAAACTCAGGTATGGGGAAAGGAGTTTACTACATGAGCCTTTCTGTGAAAGGAAAGAATTTTCTAGGCATGCTTTCATTTTATAACAGTGTTGCCTAAAGTGGTCAATATTGACCCTCCAAGGGTTGATAGGATTGATCAAGGGGGCGATAAGTGTCTGAGGCTCAAAAGGGGATCAGTAAATGTATGATGGTCAGTAGGAGGCTGATAAATAATGGAATGATGGAAGATCAATTGGCATCAATTAATCTTAGCTACACCTGTCCCTAGTCCTGAAGTTGAGGTGGCTAGCAGTGAGACAGTGTTCCTCAGGGTTGGATGGTCAGCAAAGCCTTGAATTGTCTCTATTGTTGTTGTTATTGTTCATAGTACTATTAAAGTTGTATTTATTAAATTATTTTATACACTATACTGTATATTGTATATTATATTATGTTCAATATAATGAAACTTGATCAAGGGGTCAGATAAACTGAACAGTTTGGGGATGCTTTGTTTATAATAAATTTGGTACAATTTATTATAACTGGATCCATAATGCTGGAACCTGCCCAGAGTTGTTCACGATGAGATGGATGCCAAATAAACAAACAAGCAAATAAATAAATAAATAACTGCAGCTGCCCACTTAATCGGTCCTGCCTTAAGAAAATTGGCTTACTTCTGTTGTCAGCTTCAGCAGATTCAGCATTAATGTACATCAAGGCTCCCTACAACCCCCGTTACTTTTGCCTGGAGGATCAGATAGATTCATTCCTCATGGGTGCCTCTGTAATAATTTCCATTCTCTGCTTCACTTTCAAGGAAAGAGAAGCAGCTTTTATTATGTCCAATGATACTGGGTGGTGATGGTAGAGGAACCCTCACTCTTTTGTCAGATAGATGCTCCTTGATTTACTGGTAGTAATAATGAAAAAGGAGCTTCTTTCACCAGTTCTATACATGCAGCGCGCCTGCAAAGTGTGCGTATATGTCAAAAGGGCTATTTTCACTCCATTTCCCATGGAAAGAAAAAAAAATGAAGAAAATGCATTATTTGAAATGCCATGCCATTACTTGCCTAAGAGACAGAGAAATGAGAAATCGCTCTAATATTTCATACATTATAAATAAATGCATTTTCTATCTCGGCTATTGCTGATATTAAAGTGACTGTCCAATTTTTAAAAGTTACAAACATAGTTTATAAATAGCTATGCATCTTCCTATATCTGATCTGAGAGTCCAGCTTAGATAATAATACCAAGCCAATTTTTAGAGGCTCTTTAAAAAAAAAAATGCTAAGCACGGTTGGATCTAAATAGTCTGTGGATGGGAGACTACCAGGAAAAGCCAAAGCTTTGTAGGTTATAATGGCAAATTGAAAAATCATCCTAGAAGAAGCGAATGAAAAACCATCTCTGTCATAATAGCATGAAAATGATAAGGATGTCTCAAATTAGTCACCAGGAGTCACAATTAACTTAAGAGTCTTTACCTTTTTTCTTGCCTAATTTTAAGCAGTTGTAGTAAAAGATAATATATATATATATATATATTTCTTTCCAAACCCATTCAAGAAATCTTAATTTCATGAAGCAAACTAATAGCATTAGTGTTAGCTGAGTACATGAGATTATGAAATTAAAGTTCAGGACCCAATAGATATGGAATTTTAACTCCTTTATGCTCAGAGCTCTCCTGCTAATCCTCATTTATTACCCTAAACCAGGTGGATGTTCCGTTTTTTTATTGAGAGAGTGAGGGAGCAGGAAACAAATCATTTCTTTTAGTAGGTAGGGGGAAATTACATTTATCAGTCATATTGTGACTCCATGCCCTTAAAAGAAAAGGAAAAAAAAACCACCCACTTTTTGTGGCAATGGCCACAGGAGTAGAGTTTGGGTTATTATTTTATTTAGAACACATGGTGCTAACTGAGTTATATTTTGCTTCCAAATGCATGCAAAGTTATTCTGGCCACTAATTCTGCCTCAGTGGGTTCAGCTACTTTTAATGGCAAACTTTATCCCTAGGTAATCTCACAGTGCAAAGTTGCAGTTTTAGAATGGATGGAGTTGATTTTCTTTTCATGGTCCTGATTTGGTTCTCACAGGAAACTATGAGGACTAGAGGTATGGACCCCCTTGGCTCTTTACATATACAGGGAATAGCTGTGCAGAAAGGATTATTATGTGGACATGTTGTATGTAACATGGCATGCTTTGCATTGCAAATTCCTCCACAAATGAAATTAGGCTGTGTGGATTGCATCTTGTTAATCACTCTTGCCTGCTCCTTATCTGTATTCTTGCTTGTAACCATTTAGATAAAGAGGACAACATCAGCTCTTTAATCTAATAGTTGTCAAGGGAGAGGAACAATAGCTGCCTAAGAACAATGATCTCATTAACAAAGGGTCACCTATCTGGATTTCCAAGGTCCTGATAAGCTATAACATTAGACCATCCCCAGGTGCCATCTGCTGGAGACCTTGTCTTCAATAAAAAATATTCTAGGCAAAGGTTCTACTGTCTAAAGTTATGATCAAGTCCCTGATAAGATGTGCTACCAGATGTTTTTGTTTATATTGCCTGACTGAGAAGATGCCAAAAGCTCCCACACAATTTAAACCTCAATGTAAGGAGCCGAGGTGGCGCAGCAGTTAGAGTGCAGTACTGCGGGCCACTTTAGCTGACTGTGTTCAGCAGGTCAGCGGTTCAAATCTCACCGGCTCAAGGTTGACTCAGCCTTCCATCCTTCCAGGGTAGGTAAAATGAGGACACAGATTGTTGGGGGCAATGTAAATATATATATATATATATATATATATATATATATATATATATATATATATATATATATATACATACACACATTGCTTACTGGTGTACACCGCTTAGAGAGTGCTTGCACTTAAAGCGGTATATAAGTCTCATAAATAAATAAATAAATAAAATGTAGACCCAAAGTCCTGAAGGCTGTTACCGAATTCCCAGTTCCAAGGGAATCCATCTGTCACCATTCTTGGGATTTGTGTCTTGTTGAAGGGATATGGATTGGTATTTCTTTCTCTGTTTTTTCACATTTATTCCATAAATATCCTCTTTGGCATTTCCCCCCTCGTTCCAGTTAATTGCCTTTGAATCCTAAAGAATTTATTGGATTCCAGTTAGCCAGCAGATGTCAACAACTATGCTTCACAGATACAAATGGGGAAGGGCATTAGTAGGAAGATACCGAAAGAAAAGTGTGCAAAAGGAGAGTGCAACCTGGTGGCTCAGTGGTTAAGTGCAGTATTGCAGGCAAAATCTGCCCACAGCCTGGGGTTTGATCCTGACGGGGCTCAACGTTGACTCAACCATTCATCCTTCTGAGGTCGGTAAAACGAGGACCCAGATTGTTGAGGGCAATATGCTGACTTTTATAAACTTCTCAGAGACTGCTGTAAAACAGTATGGAGCAATATCTACGTCTAAGTTCTATTGCTATTGCTAATCTAAATCTGGCTAGAAATGATAGCACACATTTTAAAGCAGTTTCACTCATCTCGATAAGTTCTCTTGATTCATTGTTTTTCCAGTCTCCAGTCCTAATAGAGTTTTATTGAGGGACCATCTGCCTAGCCATCCTAGTGAGCCAACCAAGTCACTTCAATTAAACATTGTCACCTGCTGATATGACTCTATTGTGCTGCCTGCCCTTTGGAATGAGGTCCCCCTGAGATCAGATGATTCCCCCTCTGATGATACTCTGGAAGATCTTCAAGAGCTGGCTGTTCTATCTTGTGTTATATGGCTGCATTTTGCATGTGTTTATCTAAATTATTCAGTTTTTCATCATTTACTGATTATTGCCTTTAAAAAAAGAATCTTATTTTGTCATACTGTGAGTTGTCCAAAGTCAGTTTGGAGTTGGGTGGTGCCAAAATCAAATAAATAAATAAGCAAGACCAAAGCTTTAAAAAGTTGGATTAGATCCCTTCCAGCTCTGTTGTTCTGCTTCAGCTGTTCCAGTTATATGGAGTGGGTTAATCAGAAATTAACCAAGGGGGCTGAGTGTGATCCCAAAATGATTAAGAAATTATTCCAATCACTCATAAACACAGCATCTCTTCTACTCAATAAATAAGTCCCTTCCCCTCCCCCCCAATTCAAAGTGAGTCTGAAAAAAAAATACAGCTACTTCAAGGAATCACCTTTTTAATACTGCTCTTAAGGCAGCTGGGTTTTTTTTTTTTTTAAATAAACTAGGTAGCTTTAAAGATATATACCAGAAAGATTATATGCTTGTGCAAGATCCAAAGCATTTTTTCTCAATTATTTACAAAGTGGCCACAGTCCTATTAACCATGCAATCCTATTTAAAAATATACTGGCTTAAATAGGGTTTGGTCCCAAGATAGCATGCTAAATAGTTAATGAGATTAATCAATACACTAAAACAAGGCAACAAAAGAAGGAAAGATTTCATGCCATTTTATCTGAAACAATTAGATTCAAATGATTTCCCTAACATATTACTTTATTTTAATCATGGATGATTAAATACAGAAGATAATGCAATGGCTGATTTTAAATCTTCATTATTCGCATTAGTATTAGTATCCTGCAATTTAACAGATGGATTCTTCAGTCCCCCAAAATGTTCTGTCCATTAATGTCTTGATATCTCTATCATTATAATATTGTTAAAAAGTACAATTTAGACTTTAAGGAAGCAAAAGAATTAATAAGTACCATTTATGCATGTTGACTCAGAAAGGTCAGCTGAATTTTGTAGGCCTTATTTTAAGGCTAGTATGATTGTTAATGGAGCTTTAGTTCTTTTCTTATACTTTGGATTTCTAAACTAATAAGAAGAAAATATATCTAACTATATCCAATGTAAACTTAATTTAATGGCCCTGATTTGAAATTTTGGCAAGAAGGCAATGTCCTTTTGCTATAAAGATGTCAAGTCAGGAATCACATCTTCTGTTCTGTTTGTGATTTTATAAAGGGGAAAAAAAAACCAAGGACCATTGTTATTTCAATAGGAACCGATTACATCATATATTAGATTTGGGTCCTGTCAATTAAAGAATGCCATCCTGTGGAACCTAGGACCTGTGCCTTTTCCGACACAGACCTGCCCTCTAGAACACCTTGCTGTCCGTGTGATGGACCATAGTAATGCAGCAGGTTCCCAGGAAGAGGAAGCACGTTCGAAGAATGGGGGTGAGACAAAAGGCAGCACAATACCGAACTGGATTGGGGGAAGAGGAAGAGATTTAGGATAGCCGCCCTCTGGAATCTCCAGGCTATATCATTTGGGTTGGCATCTTATGGGTTTAGTCTGGCAGGATCCTGTCTATATGGTGTCAGGAAATAAAGAACTGAACTTTGGCTAGATTTCTTTACATTGTTCACGTCTGATGTTGAGATCAGATTGGCTCCAACCCTGCTTGCCTTCTGAAAAGTTTGGAAAACCTGGTTGTTTGCCCAGGCATGTGAATTACATAGTTAGTTAAACCCAAGTGGGTCAATATTATAGTTTTTATTCTGCCTGATGTTTTCCTTTTGAATTATATATGTAGCATTGTACATTTTATGTTTTATATTGTTCTATTTTAGCTTGTTTGCTGCTCAAATGAGAAAGACGATCATATAGAAATAAACCAATAAATTTGTAATGTTCTAATAATAATTATTTATTTAAAAAGTAATGGACTGAATGAGTGGCAAATCACTAAACTTACCCAGCAAGTTCTTCCCTTTGCCCATCTTTTGAATTCTGTTCATCTCATTCTGGCATGGGAGGCCTAAAACATAATTCACAAGAATGAGTTTCCAGATGGTGAGGGACAGACCCTCTAATGATTAGCTTCATAATTGACAAGCATTGTACTCGATTGCTCACCTGGGAATGAATGAACTACATATGCTTGTACAGTCCAGCAGAACAAATGCACGGCATTAGCTTTACTAATTAAAAAAGGCACAACCTGCTATGCTTAAAAATAGTGTTTGGGGGGCATTTTATTGTTAAACACTTTTTTTCCCTCTCTCTTCATCAGCTTGATATAAACAGGATGCTAATTTACCATTGGCTTGTCAATTAATTTCCACATTTTAAGCAATTGCCTAAGCTATAAACTAATAGCAGCTGAAGCAGTTCTGAAGTTTTAATTGCAACTGATGACCAGGATCTATATTTCTCAGGGTATTTACAGAGCATCCTGCTGCTTAATCAATGGAACAAAGTCCTCATGTGATAGAACATGGTGTATTTTGTAGTAGCTGAGTAGCAGATCATGCATGATTTACATATTTGGTCCTACAGTGGAGAAGGGCAGATATTTTTGTGTGGACATGTCAGATATATTGTTCCTGAGCCTTTCCTCCCAACCTGTAAGTTGAATATTTATGAAGACTGAAGTTTTGTTAAATTGTTTGCAAAAATCTGTACGGGATATTGCAAATGGGAATAGTTTCCCATTTCTCTCAGAAGCAGCCCTAAAGCATCTGTTATTCCTGCTTAGGCTATTACTGAAACAGATGGGATGGAGAAGGTGTCATGTTGATATAGAGCTGCTTCTGAGGACATGGAAACAGATTCACAGTCTTTGCAGAATACTCTACAGATTTCTAATACCATGTAACTTTTTGAGTGGATGTCTTTTGTTTATGTAATAATAGCTTTGTTTATGCTTATCCAGAAATGTAATATAGCAAGAAAAATATGGAGAGAGTAAAGAATAGTAATTTGGAAAAATGTGGATGAAAATAGAATATTTTGTTCAAAATGAAATATTAGGATTCGAAACATATTAACAGAGAGGAGAATTGCATGAAAAAGGCTAATACATTATGAAATGGAGAAAAGAAATATACAAAAGAATATATTAAATTTGATAAATTTATCCTTGAATATATTAGAGACTGTCTGGCTGGTGTCTTTCTGAAGCCGCCATGCAATTTTCCTTTGTTCTCTTTAAATGAAGAATGTAAATGAAACAACCAAAAGCAAAACATTTCCACATCTGAAATTATGTTTTTGGATAGGAAAAACAGCTCCAAAACAGAAATCATTGCACTCACTGGAAAATAATCCTAAATTACTAAATTACACAAAACCTTCCTTTCATCTGGGAAAAAGCTGTTCCCTGATCTCAAACAGGCTCAGCATATCAATAAATGTTTTTGTTTTCTGTTTCAAGGGAATACAGTTGGTAATAAATAGATATAGGTCTTGGAAAAGTCAGGTGTCTTCTATTAATCTATTTTACATTGGAGGAGCAGACAATGTTATAGGGCAGGTTAATGAAAGTATACTGGTTATGGGACTAATTGCTATGTCAAAGGGGTGGGAGGGGTAAGAACTAAAGGAATGTTTATGCTGCCTCCCACTTATGGTTTCTTCAAATTGGGCCAAGCTATAAATATGACTTTAAGGCAAAATTCCAAAAGGAACCTCCATTGAAAACTGAAAATATGAACTAGGAACCTAGAGGCCAATGTCTGATGCTAATTCATTCATTCTTTCAGCAGCCCAAATGATAGCTATATGCCTGAATATATCCAAATGAACAACACAGTATTGGAATAGATTACATCTTATGTAGCAACATATGGGAAAATTCTCTGCTGACTTGTAAAACATTGTAAGGCGCTGAATGTGGATCAGACTGCTCAACACAGAAATATGCTTTACAGTGAACAAGACTACAAAAAAAATCAAATCCCAATGAGATATAACATATTCCTGAGGAATATAAATTTGAGGTCAGGAGCAAATACCTGGACCTTTGTGGGAAGAAATTAAAAGATGAAGCTGAAAAGCACATAAAAACGTAGTGTACAAACAGAAGAAAAAGACAAAACTGGAAGAACAAGGGATCTGTTTAGAAGAATTAAAGAAATTGCAGAAATAATCCAACATCATGTCAATGTCATAAGGAACACGCATGAAAAGGATTCAAACAAGGTCTTGGTGGTGCTGTGGCTAGAATGTAGTATTGCAGGCTAATTCTGCCCACTGCCAGGAGTTTGATCCTGACCGTCTCAAGGTGGACTCAGCTTTCCATTCTTCCAAGATTGGTAAAATGAGGACCCAAGATTGTTGGGGGAAATATGCTAACATTGTAAACCACTCAGAGAGTGCTGTAAAGCACCTTGGAGCAGTATATAAATCTAAGTGCTATTGCTAAAGCAAGGGAGTGAGAATGCAAGGCTTTCTTTGAATATCAAGAAAATATAGATCATATCTACTGGAAAATTAGAAGAATTTAAGATAAATAGTTAGAAGATAGAAGTTCTAGACTTCAAAGATCTAGGCTCCAGAATTGATAACATGACGCAAAAAGATTTGGGGTCTTATAAATCTCATGAAAAATCAGGACATTTCAATTAAATCAAAAGCTAGAATGATCCATTCACTGGTCTTCTCCTGTATGAAATACAGATGTGAAGGATGGCTTATCATGTGAGAAGAAAAAGATTAATTCTTCTGACCTATGGAGGGGGAAGAACTGCTTTGACAGCCAAGAGAACCAACTTCTTAGTACCTGAAGAAATCAAGCCCCAGTGTTCAAATCACAGGACAAAAAGTATAAAACTATGGGTGCATCATGAGGGCAGATACATCTATGGAAAAGAAGATAATATTCAACAAAGGAATGGAAGATCAAGAAAAGGCTGATAGAACATGAGGTAGAAAGCAGAAAAGCATTTACTAGGATTGTCTAATGTGGTGAAAGACAGAACAGCTTGAAGAGTTTTAACCCATAAATTCTCCAGAGTTGGTTTGAGTTTATTAAGCCATAACAATAAATATTATAAAAATAAATAAAAACAAAACTAAAGAAATGAGAGGACTCTGTACATTGTAGTGCACATGGGAAGGACATAACACTGCTTCCTGTACTGTTCAGCAACTCAGCTATTATTCACTAGACTCAAATATTGGATATTTGGATTTTGGCATCCTTAGGCAGTTAACATGTGAACACTGCTTTCTAGATGAATAGATACATGGGGCATCAAATAATTTGTGCATGAATACGAACATCAATACCATTCTTAAAGATGGTCATTAACTCCAGAATTTGCTTGTTCCTCCCAGTAAATACCACATCAGCTGTATTGTGGAAGTATGGTTATAAATACCGTACAAAGCATCATGACTTCATTTCCTCTTAATTTTATTGGAAGGAAAGTATAGCATACTGAATTGTAATCCATTTTATCTGAGGTTGAATTTGGTCAGTTACCTCCAGGCTTCTGAAAGCAGTAACACCACTCATTGTTGGAAAGCTTTCCATCTTTGAAGGAGTCACAGGAGTTGAAGAGAGGTTTAATGCATGGTTCATACTTATCAAGGTAAATAGCATTGATCTCAGAGTGATCAAGAAGAAGGTCATAGTTCATATCCAGTTTGTTGAACATCCAGCCCAATGAATCCTTACAGATAGGTAATATGCTAGTATCGAATCCTGTAGAGGAAGGAACAAACAATTCCAGCTGAGAAGAAAATACAGATAGATAAAGTTTTTAAAAAATCTCACTCTAATTCATTGTATTCTCATGTTTTGCAAATAATGGTGGTAAAATTGGATTTCACATTGTCTTTTTCTTCCCGAATTGCTAGAAAATAGAACATGATTTTTAGTTCAGAACTAAATGAAAATCAAATGCATAGGTTGAAGCTATGGTAGATACAATCTTCAGAGACTGCATCGTAGCATCATGATTGTTTCGTAAAGGTGCACGTGACCCACAGTTAAATAAAGACCTTTCAATCAGCATTCAGTTTAACAGTTCATCTATAAAAGGAACAATCTTCAATAAATAAAGTGATTTTATTATACCTAAGGAATGTTGGTTTTCAATAAACCATATATTCCTACAATGGTTCAAAGAAATCATTAAATTGTAATGCCAAATGCTGCTGGAATTGGCATTTATAATTGAAACAGGAGCCATACATATCGTCTTCCCCTCGCAATTTTAACAGAAGCAGCACTAATACCTTCAAATTATCTAGAAGTTGACAGCAAGAGCTACCTTTAAGGACACCTTAGTTTTCTACATTACATTCATTAATAGCCATAATGTCACATTCCTTAGAAACATTTGATCTCTGAAAGCATTTGCTTTGGAAGCAAAAAAACAGGATTCTACCAGCCAGTGAACAGTTCTCTCCTTTTTTAAAGGAAAAGATAAGTGGCGTGCATATATTTTGAGGCAGAATCATTTTAAAACCTCAGGTGTACGTTGATGAGTATTAACTGTAATAAAATGAGCCTGCATTTCTAGGAAAAGTATGCAATTACATTTTGTCTCTTTCAAACTTCTTAAAATCTCAAGTTACAACCTCCAAATATGACAAGTTCCCATCTTCCTTTCAAGATCCAATGTGCTAAAATTTCACTTTCTCTTGTATCTCTTTCCTTTACTTCATTCAGAGTTACTGATAAGAACGACACACAACTTATCAAACTATTTTCTGCGATATTTACTTATCTAGGTGGATAAGACTTTTTTTGAAAACATGGTAACCAGGTAGTAAGTCACTTCTCAGAAAGTCCAATAAAAAGATCCAAGCTGTTATTTTCTTATGATATATAAAAAGAAAGACTTGAATTTCCATTTGTAAATATTATGTACAATATCAGAATTTTCTGTATGATGTTTCAGTTGTAAAGGTCATTCTTATCACCTGGACTGAAGTGACATGAAAACTAGAAAGGCACTATAATGTACTTGCTATTCTAAATGTTAATTTTTAGAAACAAAAAGGCATCTTGCTAGAAGAATTAGTGGCAAACCCAGATGAGGATCATCAGTGACACTGAAGAATCATCAAAAGAGGCTTTGGTAATGCAGACACTAATGCTGTTTTATAACAGGCTGCACTTAACAGATAAGGTAGAGATGTGATGGACGAGGTTTGAGCAACAGTCCCAGGATCTTGCTTTTTTTGGCAGTATGTGACATGGCTGAGCAAAAATATATCAAATAGTGCAAAGTCTTGTTCACATTTAGGTAAATGAACTTCAGTAACTTTGGAGAAATAAGGGTATAACTCACTATTGAACATGCACACCTATATATATCATATATATATAGTCATGTGATCAAAATTCAGACACTTAACAACTGACTCATATCTTTCGTGCTTCCTCGAAAATAAGACCGGGTCTTTTTTTGGGGGGGGGGCCTCCAAAAGAGGCACCAGGTCTTATTTTCGGGGTAGGCCTTACCTCACCTCCGGCACTGACAGCTCCACCCAGCTGGTCCACTTCTTCTGGGGCCAAAGTTCTGCAGCTGCATTCAGGCCTGCATTTTACAGTCAGGCATTTCCAGAAGGCCTAAGCAGTTGAGTACCGAGCTATGGATTCAATCCATAGCTTGGTGCTCAGCTGCTGAGGTCTTGCAGAACTGAGCTATGGATTGAATCGATAGCTCAGTTCTTGGCTGCACAGATCTTCCAGAAAGTCCTGTGACTGAGAAATGCAGGCCTGGCTGTAAAAGAGGCCTCAGAAGAAGAGTTGGGCCAGCAAGGAGAGTCCTGGCTGCAAGGTACGTGTGTGCGGAGTGGGTGGGGCAGCTCCACATACCCACCCCCACCCTAGTTTGATTTTTAGGTGTTTGCCTCGCCACAAAACTAGGGTTTATTTTTGGGGTAGGGCTTATACTAGGTCCACCTCCCAAAATTAAGGTAGGTCTTATTTTTTATGTAGGCCTTATTTTTGGGGAAACACAGTATGATGGTTGCAGTGTCCTGGGGTCATGTCATCACCTTTTGCAACCTTCTGATAAGCAAAATCAATGGGGAAGCCAGATTCATTTAACAACCATGTTACTAACTTAAAAACTGCAGTAATTCATTTAACAACTGTGGCAAGAAAGGTTATAAAATGGAGCAAAACTCACTTAACAAATGTCTCACTCAGCAACAGAAATGCTGGGCTCAATTGTGGTCATAAGTCGAGGACTACTTGTATAGGCATATGATAGAATCATTCTAGAATTTGTCTGTAGAACTTTATATCCACTGATGTCATCTGAAGCATAGTATTTCCAAATGGACCTAATTTCAAGTCATCTAAACTGACATGGCCAAAAATGTGCAAAGTAATTTCTATAATTAACATTTTAAACTTCAATAATAATACTCCATTAATTTATGGTTTTTTATATTTATATAAAATGAATGTGTTCACATGTCCTCTCTCTAGCTTTTTCTGCCACAAGAGATATTCTGCATATTAAAAACAAGGTTATTACATATTCCAGATCCAATATTAACCTTCCCATCTTTCTTTATAAGAACTCCATAGTGTACAAATTGATGCCATTTCCATTTGCTGCTCCTTTCTTCCCATAAATACACACTAAAATAGAGGATTAATGCACTAATAAAATCTCTATGATAGCTATTAAATTAATCCACTGGTTTAATAAAATCGATGGCTACTATAAAATCATTTTCAATTCAGAATTCTGAACAGTTTATTGGTTCTATTTCTAACATGCAACAGATTTTATATAACCATTGTATGTTGCTTTGGCTGGGCTATGAGAAAATCTAGGAAGATAGAATGAGGATTCTGTAACAGCACATCCCTTAAATGCAGCCAATTTCATATTCTATTTCAGTGTTTCTTAACCTAAGCAACTTTAAGATTCCTTTCAATTCCTAGAATTTTAGCTGACTGGTCTAATCTAATCCATTGGAATATGTATCAGCAAATCAAACCATTAAAAATATAGTTACTATTGATGTCTCCTTTATGTTGAAGTGGGTTGTTGCCTTTAAATCCAATTAGAACAGAATTTTCTTATTCCAACATGGAGTCATTAAGAAATTTCACTTAGCTATTTCTGTAGGAGAGAGAGTACATTCCATGTGAATAAAGCAAGAGTCCCTTCCCCATTGTCACATTGTTGTAATATGCATCTTGATGCACAGAGTAGAAATATTGAAGTGAAAATGGGCATCCTACAGGTAAGTGCTCCACTTAGGGCCATAATTGAGGGCAAAATTTCTGTTGTGAGACAGTAAATTAATTTTGTCACAGTTTATGATCTTTTTTGCCACCATTGTTACGTGAATCACTGCACTTGTTAAATTAGTAACATGGTTGTTAAGTGAATCTGGCTTCTCAGAAAGTCGCAAAAGGTGATCACATAACCGTGAGATACTGCAACCATCATAAATATGAGTTAGTTGCCAAAAGTCTTAATTCTGATCACATGATCATGGGGATGTTGTCATACGTTTTTATGACATCGAAGAGTCACTAAACAAACTGTTGTAAGTTAAGGACTGCCTGTAATTCTGTTATGATACACGGCAAAGATCGGGGATGGAACATAGACATTGACTGTATTTTTGGAAATACTAGTTTTAATACAATGTTCATTATGTATAATTATAATAAGTTGTTATGCCTCCCAGAAAATTTACTTTACTTTGATTTATAGGCATTTTGAAAAGAATTAAAAAAAAAGCTGAATAAATGCACATTGCTGTTGACAATGTTAATGCTAGGAAATGTTTCCAGGACTATAATCTACTGAGATACTTAAAATTGCAAGTGTGTTAAAGTGGATTTTAATGTCAACATTAGGCAATTTCCTGTACTTTTTTAAATCATCAAGAACAAAAATGGTACATATATTTTCTTGTTTCTTTCTAAATAACCTGAATTTTAAGTATGCAATGCATTCTGCCTAAGATACATATTTATCTGAATGTAAGCAATAGTAGGACTGTTAACTTGGAAATGTGTTAGATAACAGATAATTTAATTCACTTAATGTAAGTTCTATATACTGTAAGAGAGGATTCTAAACATTATTTACTTGCCTGTGATAACGAGAAATACTGTCCTAAAACTTTCAGGCTTTGAGAAACTACCTCAATTGCTAGACATTGCTTCCTATTCCAGGAACTAGGACTAATATACTGTATAGAGCACTTTTTGCACTAAAAATGTTTCAAGGTAATTTCAGATGAATAAAGCCAACCAGAATTCTGCCTCATTTTATACATCTTATAATAACGCATAACTTTTTCATTGTATCTTTGGCTGGAGCGTTCAAATGTTATGTTAAACTACATGCTGTATGTTATGCAAAAAAGAGTAAAAGCTGTGTTATTAGTCTGTGGGATTAAGAAATACCATCAGTTAAGAACAGGAGTCTTCAAACTTGGCCCTTTTATGACTTGTGGACTTCAGCTCCAAGAATTCCTCAGCCAGCATGCCTGGCTGAGGAATTCTGGGAGTTGAAGTCCACAAGTCATAAAAGGGCCAAGTTTGAAGACCCCTGGTTAAGAACATAGCTTTTACTTTTTTTTTGCATAACATACAGTATGTAGTTTAACAGAACAGTGGAACACTCCAACCAAAGATACAATGAAATAGTCACTCGTTAGAGTTGTAGGATTTGTAGAAAGTTGAAGCCTGGAAAAAAATTACTTATA